TATATATATATACACACACATGCGTGCATATACATACATATGCATGCTATATACATATATATATATATATGTATATATGAATATATATATATATGTATATATGAATATATATATATATATGTGTGTATATATATGTGTGTGTATGTATAAATGAATGAATGTGTGTGTCTGTCTCTCTCTCTCTCTTTCTATATATATATATACACATATTAAATAGGCATTATACATATATATATATATATATTCTATTTTATTTATTTGTTTAACTATATCTGTATACGCATGTACATTTACTATATCGTGCGTATATTTTTATGTGCTATTTCTGCCTGTGCCGCCGTGATCGTGTATCAGATGAAAGCAGGACGTCAACAACTCACCGCCAACGAGGTAACATACCTAATTAAGGATCGAAGGCTTCAAGCGGGTTCATGGAGGTATAATGTCAGCAACCCTAAACCCTAAACCATCAAGAACAGGATAAATAGAATTTGTGTGAATTCCCCCTTGCCAAGATGCCATCTCCCATTCTGGCAGACACTCCGTGGCCTCGGCCTCATTCCAAGGGTTCCAGCACCAATATACATAGATAGACAGACTGACAGGCAGACAGAAAGATGGGTACATGTGGTTAGTATAAACGGATGCAATCATGGCCTAAATTGTCTACAGTGCAGACTGCTGCTCAAATCTGTTTTTATCTGTATCTGTACCTCCGGGCCCCGGCCCCACTTTCGACTTCGAGGCCTCCGATACCACTGCGTCGGACTCTTCTGAAGAGCTCGGCACCGGCGGAGGCGGTGGCTTCGGTTTCGGAGGAGGCGGAGACGCATAGCCCGTCGGCCCCAATAGGCGAGCTGGGGGTGGACTCCTGGGCTGCGACCCGTCCGAGGGTTTGGGGAGGGAGCATTTATCGTAAGGCAACAACGCTCCACAGTCTTTCATGATGCGCTGTAAGACATGCTAAGACTTGGAATTAAAACCAATTCGAAAATAGCACCGGTCGCACAAGCGGCAGAGAGGAGATCGGCTTTGCTGCTGACCAGGGATCCGTTCCACTTGCCCAAGGATCTTCGGAGGGAGGCTGTTTTACCAAAGGTGGGCTTTTCCACAAAAGCGGTGCTGCCTGATCGCCAGAGAGAGGAACCGACTTGGTCTGCTCCATGCTCTGACTCCAGGGATCTTGCCCGCTTGCCCATGGATCTGCTGCCTGGACCTCCTCAGGTCCTTTTGCCACTTTCGAAGTCTCCTGCACCCTTACCGCCTGGTGCGTAGCCAACCCTTTCAGTGCTTTCTGACGCCACAACTCCAATGGCGGCTCAGGTGGCGGCTTCTTGGTCGGAGGTTGCGCAGGCAGAGTCTTGGATGCAGACGGTTCGCCCCGTGCCTACACAGGCAAGCATGCAGCATGGAAAGTCGAACGTGCGCACTGATGCGAACCTTGTGAACTCTCCGGCTGCCGGCTTTGCTTTGCAGTATAGCTAATGACAAGTCCTTTAATGATAAAGTGCACAAAGAGATACAGTGTACATCTAAGCCAGACTTGCCGCCCATACGCGTTGCCTCGCCCTGTGGGGTCGCCGGCTTGAAGGTCACGATGCCTGTGGCTAGGAGCTTGCCGAAAATTGAAAGATCTTCCTCTCACAAGTCGAAATCTCAGGCTTATCCGGCTTTACGGAAGAATTTGGTGACAGCGCCTTCGGAGTTCAGGGAAAAGAGATCGGAAAGGGACCGCACAAGCACAGCGACTGGGAACTGGCCCCGAAGCTTCTGGTGGAGCGATGTGAGTGAGAGTGCACCTGATGCTTGCTGTACCTCCCGAGCCATCAGCATCTCCAATCCGGTCTCAGTAAGCCCCGCGGCTTGCAGGGCCCTCTGCATGCTGGGATGACGCCCCTTTGACCGTAGCTGAACGGCCGCGCCATCGCAGCTAGTGGTGAACATGCGCCGAAACCAGGGCATGAGGTGCGCTCCAGTGCCAAGTTCCCGGACCCTCGCCGCTACCGGTGCACCTGTGATCATGGACAGCTCCTTGAGGACCCAAAGGCGGCGATTGCCTGTGATGGCGAACCACGCACTCCCTCGCCGCCAGACGAAGAAGGGAGGCAGCTGCGAAGGTTGTAGCTTTTGTACCACCAGATCCTTCAATGTATCCACAAGCAGCATGCCGTTCCGGAAGTGAACCTGCACAAACATGACGGTCAAACCGTCACACAACCCAACAGCCCCATCAACAGCAACAGCAACAACAACAACAACAAGCCACAGGATGTATGTTTAAAACTTCCATTCCCGAGAACTATACTCAAGCCTCCAGAATGTTTGACCTGGGGCTCTTGAAAAGCAGCGTCCGACATATCATATCTGGGTGGGTTGGGGATGGTGTCCAAGAGGCGCATAACGGTGTAACGTTCCTCAAGTTGGCGTATAGGACTTATAAGGAAGAGCTTTCAAGTAGAACCCATAAAATTATGAACCCAAAGCCTTTAAACATAAAGCCCATACAAACCCGTCAAACCTCTGTCAACCTGCAAACCCCTCTCTAAAACGGCCTTGATCGAGTCATGGGCCCAGCGGATCTGATCCACCCGAAGCTCCCTCAGCTCCTCCTCCGCCTCATCTCCGACTTCCGATGAACTCTCAACATCGTCGTCACCTTCGCGGTTTAGGGTTTATGGCATGGTTAAGGGTTTAGGGCTAAAGGGGTCCCTACTAGGGTGCCTTCGAGGGTTCCTGCCAGAGAATTCTTGTTCAGGGGGTTGTTAGGGGTTGCTTCAGTGGGGTTTATCAAGTAGGTGTCTGAAGACTTTGGGCTCAGCGTTTCGGGTTTGCCGTTCCGGGGGTTACGACGACCAACGGCATCCTGCCAACGGAAGCGAGCCTAAGACAATGCTATCCGCGGCATGGCGCTTGCATCAACATCCCAAACCCTAAATTAGAACGAAACATTACGCACAAACACGACTACTACGTTCGGAGGCAAGCTTCCGTCGACCGAGTTCTGCTGGTCTGTGCTCTTGACTCGCCAGCAGCTTGCCGACTTCCGCGGGTCATCCATGCTAGTGGTCGCCTGATATCGATATTAGCACGATGAGGAACCCAGATCCCCTACACCCCCTAAACCCTAAACCCTGAACCCCTATCCCCTAAACCCTAGAAACCCTAAATCGGGCCCGCTGGACTGCAAAGCCCCACATCCGATCTGGGGTGCGGCGCCTGACAGTCCGCGTCCACGGCGCATGAAATTCTGGACTACCCCCAGGGCTCCAGTTACCTAAGTAGCAGGTTACTAGAGTACATAATATATGGTTGGTAACCTACTATTTAGGTGACTGGAGCTCTACGTTACTACACAGGTCTGAATTTTCCTTGTAGTGGTGGTATCATCCCCCAGGTAGTCGCGAGATAGTTGTACTGTTTGCTACCCCAAAGCACTGTTCTCATTAAGTTCTTTAACCCTAAACCCTAAATTTAGGCCCTAAAACCCGAAACCCCTTGTTCACAGGCCCTGTTCGGGGGGTCATGAGTTCATGCATCTCTCTACCCCACAAATCGAAACCGGTCAAGCCCCCACAAACATTCCGGCAGGTTTTGGAAGGCTGGAACCAAACCTCTATCCAGCCAAAATCCCACACCAAGGCCTGCACGCGATTCTTTGCCAGCGATAGCCTCCAGTGCGGAGGGTTGCCATCCTCTGGAAGGTCTCTTGGGCTTATTCTGGAGACGAGGCGAGTGGTCCAGGACACAGCGTCTCCGAGATGGGGTCCGGTTCCCGAAAGCCCTCCGGTTTAGGGTTTAGGGTTTAATTAGGGTTTAGGGTTTCCCAACCCTAAACCCTAAAGCCGAAACCGTACCGTTCGCAGCCGCCCAGCACGTTAATCCTCTACAACGGACAGGTCCCCAATAAGCTTCCGCCTCCGCAGCCCCCACCCTAGGCCCTTCAAGCCCCAAAGTATGAATGACCCTGAAAGCAAGCCTCGTAAACCCTCACAACCCAAAATGAACCGAAACCTCCGAGACGATGAAGCGGTCGGTGTGCTGCTCCTTGGGCGTTATCAACTCTTCAAACGGTATACAGTTTAGGGTTTAGGGTTCAGGGCTTATAGGGTTTAGGGATTTGGGTTTAGGGTGTTGGGGGCTTACAAGCCAGGTCTCGCAAAAAGCCCGAAGCTTCGGCACAGAAGCCCGGTGTGTCGGATGCCTGCTTTTGGCTTTCGGCATGAAAATGGTAGCATTGCGGTTGTAGGCGACGGGAAATCTATGCCGAAGGGAACCCTGCAACGATCGCACAAAACCCCGATTCGTTTCGGAATCCTCAAGCCGAGACGAGATACCGGCTGTAGAAGTCTCCAAATGTCTCTGCTGAAGCTGTGCCGCCCCGCTCCCGCAGGAAGTCCACCAGATCTGCGATGATGGCCTCCTCACCACTAGTAGGCCTGCTGGGTGGCGGGGGAAACGTCACAAGCTTGCGACCTATAGCAGCTCTAACAAAGACTGTATACATCAAGTATCATCAAGCTAGTGAAGCGACATGGAACAACATATTGGAGTTTAGAGTTTCTAGGGCTTACCTGTAGCGCAACACCCCAAAACATAGTTGGTGATTACTTGCTTTCTAGATAACTGGCCACAGGTAGTCTTAACAAACAAACAGTTGCCAGGGCCGTACCAAACCTGCTCGTGGGCTTCAACTGAATGCTGGCGAGCCGAACGACGTACAAACTCGATGCCGTCATTGCCTGCACTGTCGGCGGCTAAAAGAATGCATTGTGGGGGGTGGGGGGGGGGGGGGGGNNGGGGGGTTAAAGCTTCTAGGGCTTAGAGTCCAGGTCGAGGCATAGTAACGATAACACTTTAACCGGAGCCTTGGAAAACGACTACTGTATTCAACCATACGGCAATGTCGACTTCTGAGCAGTAGAAACAGCGATGTTGTTCGTCGAACTTGCCTCCACCGAAAATCTGGAATGCTGAAGGCAAAACCGGCGCAGCGAACCCTTCAAATAAATCTTCCGTGCCACTTCAGGGTGGCATGTCTCAAACTTCGAGAAGTCGCTGGACAACATCGAACCTCCACGAGAAGCGATGAAACTTGCCAGGACTTCTGCGACTGCTTCATCGTCTGTCTTTGCCTTCGCAAAGGCGTCATCATCCCTCGTCTTTGCCTTCAAAGACAGTGTGTAGGGACCTTTCGCGGCGCGGGTGATAGTGAAATGCTCCGGGTGCCTCTCGCACAAAGCTCGCACGTCCAACTTCGGGACTGACTTCAAGAGCTGCTTGTTCCTGAACTGCGGCTTAGGATTTCATAGAGCGAAAGCGGCCCTAACATTCTACCAAAAAAAAAGTGCATCCCGGCTACTTGGAACCATTCTTGAATAACAGCCCGGGTTCTGGTGAAGAAAGGGTTGCAGGTGGCACGATGATACCGACCCCGGAGGATCAGTCTTCTGCAAAAACTCGACGAGGGCAGCTACGATGGCGTTTTCCGACGGAATCGGCATGGCCAGAAGCCCGCAACGGCCCCAACGTCTTTGTTCTTCTCGGCTTGGAATTTCTGTAGGAGTGCTTGAGGTTTTGTTCATTGACTACCACGGCTTGCGTGGAGACCCAGCACAGGCGCGCCCTGCTTGAGCCATGCGCCCGAAACAGCTACAGCTACATAAACCCTAAACCCTAAACNNAACCCTACCCTGTAACCGAAAAGACCTACCTCTCTTAGGGCTCCTTATGATGGTTTCTATATGTAGTTTCTGAAAGAGGTAGGTCTACAGGTAAACCCCAACAACAGCTAAGAAATAGGAGGCGAAGGTCGGCTTCAGGGTTCCCCATGGGTTTGGGAAGGGCGGTGCTGACGCCATATTGCTCGTGATCCGTGGCCGCTCAAAGGTATCCGAGGGCCGCCTGGTAACAGAAAGATCTGAATATAATCAGGATAGTAGAATATGTATAGTATAGTATAGTATAGCCAAACTAGGGACCCCTGTAATTACGGGATAATGTGGCAATTTCAACTTCAGACAGGCCACATGCCTCCTCATGGCACCTCCGTGCTTCCTGTCGCTGCGAATTAAAATTACTTTCGTAATCGTCGGGCATAGAAATGCATGAGCCAAAACCATAGCCAACATACTGACAGCAAAAGATAAAAGCAACCATAGTCATAGTGGAGGCTGGATGCAAAATACGTATGGTTATGATTTCATCAATCTTCAAACCTCATGTCGAACCGCCAACTCGATTCTGGAAGCACACAACCTAAACCCCAAAGCCCTAAAGCCCTGGAAAACCTAACAACCGTTTTTTTTTAAGCCCTAAACCTTAACACAACACCCAAGCCCTAACAGCCTAAACTCCTAAAACCCTGAAGCCGAGCACCCCCAAACCCTGACACCGCCCCTTCACTTCGACGCGATCGGGTGAGGTCCTGCCTCATGGGGCAGGGCGGGTGGTCCTGTAACTTGAAACTCCCATGCACAGATACATCCAAGGGTTCTACTACTACACGTTTTTACCCACTCCACTCAGCTACTGATACTCGAACACTACAAACCCACATTGCCAAAGAAACCCCTAAACCCTAATCCCTAAACTCTAATCCCCTAAACTAAGGAAGTCGCAGAAACCCCAAAGCTGGAGAAGGCAGCCTCCATAGCCGAGGCAAAGACGAAAGCAGAAAGTGACTCCTCGGCACAGCAGCTCTGTTTCGGTGGTTCTCTAGTAACCCCTTAATAAGAAGTTTAGGGTTTAGGGTTTAGGGTTTCCAGTAACCCCTTAATAATAAGGGCACCCTTTTTCCTAATATTTGGTTTTAATGAGGAGATCCCATACCAAAAAGGGCAAAAGTGCACCACTGGGGAAGCTAGGGGCCTTGCTTGTTCCATGGCGTGAGACTTTAGGGTGAATGAAGTGCCTCTCAAGCGACAAAAGTGTACTGTCACATGAGGCTTCGCTTCAGGCACCTCCAAGAACATTAGGGTGAAGAGGTTCATTTGGTCTAGGTTTAGGGGTCAAGGTTTTAGGCTTGAGGTTTTTTGGGGCGCAGTTTGCGGCGTTCAATGACGGCTATCTTTCCAGGATCCTGCGTATCACTTGCACCTAGGGGCCGAGCACCCTAGCCCAAAAAAGGTTAACCTTGAACTTATAGTAGGGTTTTATAAGCCCCAATTGGTTAAAGGTTACCTACTCAGCCCCTAAGTGGAGCATGGATGAGGATGTGACAATTGGCCTATTGTGCGGGTTGAGGGTTTCGGATTGAGGTTGTGCTTCAGGTCCAGAACTTAGCGGAACCTCAGCTTGTTCCTTCCTGTGCCTCAATTCCTAAAGCCGAATCATCGGTACAAGGACAGCATGTACAACCCTTCGAAACCAACTACCTTTCGTTGCTACACCTGCTACTATGGGTTACACCTACACATATTCTAAGGAAAACAGATAACTAAATCTATGCGCAGGAGAAGAGAGAAAGAGAGGGAGAGAAAGTCTGCGTGTGTGTCTGATACATACACACAACAAATGCATGCAGTGTACTATAAATATCTCCTAAACCTATACATATACATATACATATACATATACAAATACATATATATATAGGATGTATATATATATATGTGTATATATATATGTATGTATATATATATATATACCGCGTATGTGTACATACATGTATCCCTATCACACTAACTGAAACGAAGCATCTTACGACAACCCTTTCAAGCCATGATTATATACATATATATGGGGTTTTAACAAATATACTAGGGTCGTCGTTGACTTGTAGTATAACTAGACAACTAACTAGACAAGGTTTACAAGGGTGCAGTATTTCTACTTTAGCCTTCAATGTGATGTAAAGGTTTCCCGTATGATAACACACAAGTAGCATGATTTCCAAGCAAGGCCTAGCTTGGCAAGAACCCGAAGGTGTCCTCGCCGAAAAGGCCCTGGCTCGCTTCAGGCGGGGTGCCTCAGAAAAGTGAACGCCAATTTGTCGGAAGTTCCCAAACAGCCCAATTCCCCTAGATTAATCAAACTTCTCCTCGATTTTTTACGACTTGGTATCATGACTAATGGTATATTCCCAATAACTGATAAGTATCGGGCTCTCTGGGTTCTTACTGATGGAAAATGCTGTGAATGACATACATTTATTTCGGGAGCTGGTAGTTGCAGTCCTTGCATCCGGAGTATAGGGGATGGTTAAGGCAGACACACTGCAACAATCTCCCATTGCCTAGCGGTAGTCAGTCCAACCCAAAAAACCGCAGGGACAACAAATTAATCTCAACAAGAAGCGTCTCAGCGCCATTTGCAGCAAACAAAAACCAAGATCGGAGCATGACTTAGCCGAGGCATTCTTCTGCGTGGCTACCGAAGCCAAATGTGCTACAACAAAAACCGGCACATGACAGAAACGTAAGCGCGAAGTCACGTTGCACAACCTTCTCTTCAGAACTTCGAAAATCCAATGACGTGGAGATGACGGACACATCTCATGCAACATGGGCTTGCAGGCCGTAAACTTCTGTAAAATTGCACCCGCGCCTGCGCCGGCAACACAGCTCTCGTCCTGATGTTACTTCTACTACGAAGACGACGACGACTACTACTACTACTTCTGCTGCTACTACTCCTCTTTCTACTGCGACGACGATGACGACGACGACGACTGCTACTACTACTGCTACTCCTACTACTACTACTACTACTACTACTACTACTACTACAGCAACTACTACTACAGCAACTACTACTACAGCAACTACTACTACAGCAACTACTACTACTACTACTACTACTACTACTACTACTACAGCAACTACTGCTACTACTGCTACTACTGCTACTACTGCTACTACTGCTACTACTGCTACTACTACTACTACTACTACTGCTACTACTACTACTGCTACTACTACTACTACTACTACTGCTACGACTGCTAGTACTGCTAC